TGAAGGCGTGGGTAAAAACTACTGTTTGACTAACTTCATGTAAAAAGATTCTAATTCACAATATTTCTGACTGCAATATGGTCTTATGAACAACATGAACTGCATTACTAATAAGCGTATGGATTCTAGGATTGAGTGTTATGAATAATACATGCTTAATACTGATGAAGTATAACTTACATCACATGGGGCCATAATGATTTATTACAAAAACCATCTATATAGTTAATATCAATGCTAATCGAACATTAATTACTATCCAACCAATAAGGCTTAAGATGTGAGCTGTGTTTTAAAATATGTCTCAAATGGCGCCTTATGATCTTTGATTGGACTAAATACAACAACTCGACATCTTTATTTCATTTCTTTTATTTATTTCAGTTCTATGAACCTGCTGGTGTTTTTTGGGTAATTAATTTGTATGCTAACTGTTGTAGGACTTTGGTAATGGAGAAAATGAACGGGTAGTATTCATTATTCCTGGAGGATTAGCAGAAAAGTTGGGTTCATCCTATAAGGTTGATTCTTATTATAAAATAACTGAGTTGGTTTTGATATCATCTGTTTTGAGTGGAAAGCTGGACAGAGACAATTTGATATCACCCTGTGGTAAGTAGTCTTACTCATTACTAGTTTCATTTGTAGTATATTGACTCATTGTTAAAAACTGTTTATATTTCTTCATCTTAACTACATTCATCTGACTGAATATAAAGTTTCTTTGCAGAACCAGGTTCCTCTACATGCTCCACTGATGAAACCGTGGTAGCAGAATCCGATCTCGAAGCAGAAACCGATAAACCAGTTGCTTCTAATGTCCAAGGTTCAGATGAACATTTAGGCATACCAGATGAACATTTAAGCAAACCAGAGGTGTCCATCGACCATGCTGATTCTGGATCAGCTGGGGGCCATAAAACATTCAGAAATAGTTACAGTGGAGTCAAAATGAGAAACGACAAGGTTGATGAATCTGACAACAGCAATATAGACATTATTTTCACTCAAAATTTAATCGTGCAACACGTGATGAAACCCTCATCAATAGTTACTGCAGAAGACAGTGGAATTACGAACTTCAAACGCTTCAGGAAGGTATTACTATTAGCCTCTGAATGTTATAATCTGCACCATTTCGTTTTAACTGGTGTGCACATTACTGTTTGATATTGATGATATCTTAGTTATATCTTCTTATTATGTCATAAGATCATTACCAATTCCCATCGATCGACCATTGTATGCGTTTTCTAATCTTAAACGATGAACCAAATGATGGTCGTGATCATATTTGCATTCAACTGTTCGAATATGCATTTAAGTAGCATTAAAAACAGTGTTTGTTTCTTGTATTAGTGGCACATAGAGAAAAATGTTATGGAGGTTAATACGCACATCCTTACAACTTTTTTGCAGACAGAAACTCACTCTGGGAATAGCTTTTATAATCTTGTTCCATTTGATAAGTATCCTTACAAGTAAGTGTTTCTCTCATGTCTTGGAGTCATTTGGGATGTGTTTGGCGCATGGTAGAGACGTTTCTTTGCATGCCATTACATATTCTTTCATGTTTATTTATTGAAAGTTGGGTATCTCACGTTGAATTAATATGATATCTTTAAACATTTCAAGCCCGCACCTCGACCTCTGAATCTGATTACGTTAAAAGAAAATCACCTGCCATTGTTTTATGGGTTTCTAGGGATAACGGTGATGGAAGGGAGGAAATTGCAGAATCCTTGAAAGAAGAAAGAAAGCGCAAGGAAATGGAAGCAATATCTGAAGATTTATTTAATAACGAAAAGGTGAGTCTTTTTTACTTGTTTTATCACCACAAGTTACAAACATGGCATGCATGAAGACATACATTTTTAACTTGCCTAAACTTCAGGGACGACGTCGTGGAATGGTCGGTTCCCTTCAACAGCTCCTTACTCGTTCTTAGAAACAGGTATCCGTATTTGCATCAAAGAATTCTCTCTGTGTTTGCCTCTACTTTGTTAGATAACTCGTTCTCTTTTGCACACATTTGCATGATGTCGTCGTCAATCACGATCATACTTACCTCGCATGTCTAACTGTTGCAGTTGCTTGTCTATACTCTAATATGACGATATTGTTTGTCGACAAATTGTGTTAAAACTTGATTTGATTGATGTCCCTCTATAATATGAAAGCATATAAGAGGCCAGGCTTACAATCATCCAAGTATTTTGATAAGTCAGAAGATGTATCGAGTATTAAGTGGACTTCTAACGTTTAACTTGTGTTGTGGTGACATACTTACACGAGTATTCATAGCTATGTTATCTCTAAGGATTCAACACGACTAGCTCGACATAATATTTTCGAGCTTCCTTAAAATTTTCTAACAAATATTTAAACAAAAGGGGATAAGCATAAACGATTTACCGACAAAAAGAAACTGTTCAACAAGTTGCACGTTGTATGTCCATGCATATCTCTAGTTCGTGGTGTCATCAACATGAGGGATAATTTTGTAAATTGCATGGTCAACCATAGAATGCTTAATCTAAACGTTTTCAATCTCGTGGGTTGAACTCCTAAAAGGACCTCACATCATTTATTAAAAAACATTTAAATTAGTCCAAAATCACATGCAAAACTTTAATCAATCCAGAACCACTCATTACATACATTAAACATTAATAAAATTAAGGAACAAACATAAAAAAGGGATCCAAAAGTTAGCAACGCAAACAAATATAAAAATTATTTTAGAATGACTAAATATAAAATAAAATAATTCATATTATAATATTAATAAATGCAAAATATAATTGTTTTTTTTAATATTAATTAATTATATACTTTTTTTTTATTTTAAACTCTTTTAACTTAAAATTGGATATTACTCTTAAAATATTTCTTAAAATATTTCTATGTTCTTGTTGGCACACTCTCACTCTATGTTTGTGTGTAACTACTCAAGTCTTGATTAGCGGATGTTGTGCTTAAGTCCATGATTAGCAGATGTTTTCATAAAGTAATGTTTTGTCTCTTTGATTAACGTGGAATCTCACTAATATATATATATATATATATATATATATATATATATATATTAAAATTTTATGGTGCAAATTATTATACCTTATACCAAGTTGAGATGAGAAATTGATATTTCCAGAAAAAACAAAAAAGAAAAGAAGAAAAAGAAAAATAGAGTTAGGCTAGAAAAGCGAAAAGGGACGGGTACAACTAATTACCAAACAAATTAATTTTCTTTTAAATAATTAATTTATATATATATATATATATATAATAAATAAAGTACAACAACTCAAACGAGCCTTTATTTAATTAATATTGGACAACTCATTCTATCTTCCTTACATTTAAAATTTGTATTTAAAATAGGAAATAATTCTTTATCAAATTTACCTTGCTTAATTTTATATACTTATTTCAACCTCTTTGAAAAAAAAAAATGAAATTAAGGTTAAAACTTCACTTTTATCATATACTTTAATCTATTTATTTTAAAATGATTTTGATGGAAGAGACAATTTAGCTTCTTAACCTTGGTTTAATATTTTAAAATTGGTTATGATGTATTAAATTTTTTAAAATAAATTTAGAAATAATTAAATTTAACGTATTTAAGTTATTTAAATCATGGAACCTTCTACTAAAATATAAAATATAAGAGTTTTTTTAATTAAATTATTAAAATAAATTAAATATGAGTTGGGCAAGAAGAGAGAGAGAAAAAGGATGATCACCGTCCAATTCTTTTTCAAAAAAGAAAATATTTTAAATAAATTTAATGACAACCCACTAGCCATACCAAACGATCAAAATAGCACACATCAATAATCCAACGGTCCACAAACAAAGCATCTTAATCGTAAGCAACACCTGCCCGCACCTGATCCACAAGGTACACTGTCAACAAGTCGGTGGTCGACCTAAAACCGAGTAACCCGGTCAAACAAAAATATTTACAAAATTATAATTATAATTTTATTTAATTTGGTTGGCCTCCTAATATAGACCTGGCTACATCGCCAATTTGAATATTCAACGGTCAACGGTCAAAATACATGGGACGCATACAATAAATATCCAGCTAAGCTTAGCTAACCCACCCTCTCCCTCTCCTAATAATTCCATTTCAACTAATCAATTTCTAATTTTAATTTCTACAAAATTCAATATTCCTTTATATAATTATTATTGATTAGTCTTTTATTTATTATATACTTCTGATTTTTAGCTACCCTCGGATTTTTTTTTTAATTTCGATACAACGGTTCATATTTTTGGAGATAATCTAATTTCTAATATATATAAAAGTTCGTTAACCAGCAATATTTTTCATTCGAGAGCTCATTTTCAAATTTGAATATAACTCAATTAATTAAGTAATTAGTAGAACTGATTACTCGAGATCATTTAATTGATAAGAAATTGTGTTTTTAAATTACGAGCTATAATAGCTAATAAAGATTTTTTTTAAACAAAACGTTTGTAATTAAGAATTTTTAAAATCCAACAAAAAAAATTAAATTTTTTTTAAAAATTAAATCAATAATAGCTAATAAAGAAAGAAATAGATACATGCCTAATTTATATCCCCGAATATTCGAATATCTGATTTTTTACCAAAAATATAAAAATATGAAACAACCGTCAAAATTATGTTTTATAATATATTATATTTAATTGCAACATTAATTATTAATTATATTATACCAGCTCTAATTTAAAAACAAAAAAAAGGTTAATTTATTAAAAAATTTATTAATTTATTTAAAAAGTTTTCTCATAATTTGGGGTATATTATTTATTTTGTCAAGATTTTCGGCTTTCTTAATAGAAAAGGAAGAGCCCTAATTTTATGAAAGCCCTTATCTGCCTCCCGTCTCTTTCATCAATTAACACGCAACGCAACAAAATAGCAGTCAAAGCTGAAAAGCAGCTCAATCCCATATTAGGGGCTACTCTTTTTCTTCTTTTCTTCAATTTTTTACGAATTTCGAATTCCTGGGCGTTGAATTTGGACCCGCGTTTCAAGTTTTCTCCCTTTATCTCTCCTTCTTTTGATATATAATCCATCTCTCCATTGATTCATAGACCAGCTGAATCGACAGGAAAGAAGAAGAAGTAGACGGTATTTATTGTTTTCTGCGTTCTGGTTTGATTTCAATTGCAGAAGCTACAATGTTCTTGTCATGGAGGAGAAGCAAACTTGGGTTTCTCCCCAAGTTGAAGAAAGAGCATCTTCCGGGCGTTGATTCGGGTTCTGAAATTGTGATTCCTTCGCATTTTCTATGTCCGATTTCGCTTGATTTGATGAAGGATCCTGTGATTTTGTCCACCGGGATTACTTATGATAGAGAGAGCATCGAGAAGTGGATTGAGGGTGGGAATTTTTCTTGTCCTGTGACGAAACAGGATTTGATGAGTTTTGACCTAATCCCTAATCATACCTTGAGGAGGATGATCCAAGATTGGTGCGTTGCGAATCATTCTTACGGAATTGAGCGGATTCCAACACCGCGGATTCCAGTCACGCCGTATGAAGTTAATGACGTTTGTTCGAGAATCGCCGTCGCGACTCAAAGGGGCGATTCGAAGAGATGCAGTGAATTGGTGGGTAAGATCAGGAATTGGGCGAGAGAGAGCGAGAGGAATCGGAGGTGCGTTGTGAATGGAGGAACTGGGATTGTTCTAGCAGCTTCGTTTGAGCATTTTGCTGGTGTTTCGATTGAGAAACATGTGGGTTTGTTGGAGGAGATTTTGTTGGTTTTGGTATGTGTATTCCCAATCTCCATTGAAGGGTTATCCAAGCTCGGATCTGCGGATTCCTTGAAATGCATGGTTTCCTTCTTAATGGGGAAAAATCTTTCACCAAAACAGAACGCAGTTTTTGTTCTGAAAGAACTGCTTCTGGTTGATCAAAGATACGTCGATTCATTGGCTGCCATTGAAGGAGTATCCGAAGCTTTAGTAAGCATCATAAGGGAGCCTCTTTGCCCTTCAGCTACAAAATCATCCCTTACAGCCATTTTCTACATTATTTTACCATCAGAAATCAGCGAGAAAATGACATTGAAATTCATGGAACTGGGCTTGGTCTCTCAGCTGCTAGATTTCCTTGTAGATGCAGAGAAAAGCCTGTGTGAGAAAGCGTTGGGAGTATTGGATGGAATCTGTGATTTTAAACAAGGAAGAGAGAAGCTATACCAAAATGCATTAACAATTCCATTGTTAGTCAAGAAGATCCTAAGAGTATCAGAGGTTGCCTCTGAGTATTGTCTGTCAATACTATTGAAGCTTTGTAAGAGTGGAGAGAAGGGTGAGGATGAGGCGAGGGTGGAAGCTGCTCAACTGGGTGCTTTCCAGAAGATAATTGTTCTTTTGCAGGTTGGTTGCGGTGGTGACATGAAAGACAAGGTCACTGAGATGTTGAAATTGTTGAATCTTTACAAGGATAGGTTAGATTGTATTGATTCATCCATGCATTTTAAGTTCTTGAAGAAATCATTCTGATTTACTGTAAGAAACACAATTTTTTGTCTGTTTAGGTAGTGAAGAAAATGTATATACATACACACAAAACACAGATCAATGAGAAAACTGAACTTTATACTCAATCTGGCTAGCCTCTACTGAATTTCTCTCATAATTTTTGTTGAAGTTTGAGAAACTTATGATTATGGTATCATAACATCTTGTCGGGTTTGTCAAACTCATCGTAGCTCAACTTGTTAAAGTATATTCCACCCAAAACTAGGAGGCCAAATGAGTCTAAATCTTCTATTCATCCTCATGTTGTTGAACTAAAAAAACGTTTTTTTTGTGCTTGCAAACTTTAGCTCATATAAGCCGAGTCATAAACAACTACCATTCTCAAAGGTGAGCTAATCACCAAAGGCGTTTGGGATTTGTCCTTGCTCCTTTAGCAGTCGACTCGGTGGATCGTACAAGCCTTGTGCGTCGTGCTAAAGAAGGGTTCACCCATCTATGAGTCGTATCTCTCTCGACTTGGGAGAGTTTCTTGTAGATGTTTGCTCGAGGTATGTCCCAAATTTTGAGCACTGATGCTATGTGGTTAGCTGTAAAGGTCCGAGACCCCATTACTATTTGATCATATTAAACAAGGTGTTTTGAACTGTTTCAAGTGTTGTTTGCTGTGTTTTGAACTTCTTCAAGTTTCTCCTTTATCTCATGTGGGTTTTTATTGTCGTTGTGGCATAAGGTCTTACTGGTATGAACTCCGACCCTTGCCTCTTATTTTGAATTCATGAGGATTTCAACTACCAAGAGGTTAGCTTCTTTGAGCAAGAGTACCTGCAATGTGAGTGCGAGGCATGTCAAGCGGGGAGGACACCTGTAACAACCTAAAATAATGATAATATGTATTTATTTGTTGTGTGTTTGATGATGATGATGATAATTATTATTATTATTATTATTATTATTATAAAAAATATATATATATATATATCGAAACGAAGCAGCTGCTGTAAAGGGGGATGAGGGGCGGCGGACGCGTAGGCTGGAGGCGTGGGATGGATGAGTGGATTGTTAGAGGATGTGGAAGCGTATTAGGGCCTTGATTAGGTTTTAAAAAGGAAGAAAAACGAAGAAGAGTGATTAGCGAAAAATCCAGAAAACAGAGGAGGAAATTTTTGAGAATTCGAGTTTTGGTTGCTTAAAATTGGACATCAATCGAGGGTAGAGGAAGAGGGGTTGTTGCTGAGGAATCATTTGAGGAAGGGGATATGGCCACGAGCTGAATCGGACGGTGATTCGAAGGTAACGAAAAACCCATATCACCGAACCTTTAAATCTCGATATCTTGATTCATACTGCATAATAAGTTATGAAATAAGGCTTGTTAGAACCGTAGTTAGAAGATCTATAAAGTTGTAGAAGAAATCAGAACGAAATTCGAACGGTAGAGATGAAATTTTTGCTTCGGGACACAACGGGTATTAAAGGAAAAGATTGGGAAAAATTGCAGGGAGGAGAGGTTGAAGACGAGCGCGTGAAGGACACACGAGGCACGTGGGAGGCCGCGAGTGGAAGTGCGATTGTGCGCGGATCAGGCACGTGAGAAACGAACCCCGACCTTGTGTTGGCGCGTGAGGGTGCGTGAGCAGGTATTTTGGCTCCCGGTTTGTCCCGTTCGACTCCTTTTGACCTGTCCTATCAAAATTGGTCTATACTTATGTTGAAATTGATAAAATATAGGTCTAATAGGAAGGAATTGTGTTGAAATACTATTAAACGTACATTCAAGGGGGAAAAGGAGTTCGAAACCAAGTAAGTAGCATATCGATCTATGAACTAGTTCTTAACTTGTTTTACAACATGTGAGTATGTTGTTTACCTGATTAAGAGCTTAGTATGTTATGATCAACTGCTTGCCTGTGATGTAAGCATGATATAAATGATTGTCAGAATGTTCTATGTGTTGAACATGATACATGTATGAAAGCATGCAGTAATTGTGAGTATGTTATGCATGTTAATGGAAAGGTTATGACTCTAGATATGCTTATTGGTTGTTGAGCTATGACTTATTTATATGAGTATGATAGTCTACTAATTCCCGCGGAGTTCCTGGCCAACGCGCTGTGTGCTAAGTCAGGGAGCATGAGTACTCCTGACCGTTGGTATATGAGATAAACAGGCCGCCAAAGCAATTAGTAGACGGGCCGTATTTGACCGAGAGCGAGTCTTACATACGAGTCCGAAAATTTTAGATAAGCATATCGAAGGAGAGTCAGTAACCTAGCTGGAGGTAGCTGAGATACCTCATTAACGAACAGATGACCCTAGTAAGAGAACTAGGAGTCAGTGATGAATAAAGCTTAAAAACACCTGGAAAGATTAGTTATGAACCCGTGAATGATAAGCTAGCTACTTACTGAGTAATCTAATTACTCATCAAAATTATTATAACTTTTCTTTCCAGATTTAGATGATGCAGGCCAACCGAGGACGAGACCAGCGGACTAGAGACTACTGGGAATCCATGTCTGGGTCTGTTTATGTAATTATGTTTTCGTTGTCAAGAATTTACTTCGGTTGTTTTAAGTTTAAATAGCACTGGTTTTAAATGTTTTACTAGATGTTTTTTTTTTAGAAATATTTTAAGATTATGATTGGGTGTTAGAGTATGTTGTCGTTGATGACGGTAACTCCTGTTAATCGCGTTGACGATGAGCGGGCGTTACAACACCTTGCTTCTGTAACAGCCCAAGTCCACTACTAGCAGATATTGTCCGTTTTGGTCCATTACGTATTGCTGTCAGCTTCACGATTTTAAAACATGTTTTCTAGGGAGAGGTTTTCACACCCTTATAAGGAATGCTTTGTTTCCCTGTTCAAATGAAGATCTCACAATCCATCTCCCTTGAGGGCCTAGCATTCTCGTTGGCACACCGTTCATATCCAGGCTCTGACCTTGATTGACATTCCACACCATGCAACTCCTGAGGACTTCCCGTGTATGTAGAAAGAGGTAAACTTCTATCTATGAAATTTCCTTCAAGTTGAAGCTACATTTTGCTTAAGATCACTAGGGGGACCCTAGCAAGTGATGAGCATTTGAAGGCCTACCTTAGGGGAGTGTCTATGGCTCTGCTTAACCACACCATAAGTTAAGACGAGAAGAGCACGTGCTTTTAACACACACGTGCTCTGAGTCGTCATACGTGCTTATTGTAAGCTTATTTTTTGGTATTGTTCTTTCATGTTGGCCTTTAGAATGAACTAACTCGTGTACATCAACTATTTACTATCTATACCTTTTGATGAATAGTTAAAACAAGTGAGGTTATGGATTCAAACATTTAACCTTTTTATTGAAAATACATATTTTAACTAATTGATACTCATGTTGGTTCGTATTTGCTATCGTTTCATAAAGATGCAGTGCCTCTTCTTGTGTAATCTATAGTATATATTTATTCTCGAAGTTGAAGAATCAAATTGGATCGAGTAAAGAACTTCAACCTAATATTACTTATGAATATCCTACGTTTATTCTTGTCTTGGTTCTTTAAAACTTTTTAAATTATTCGGTATCACGACTTTCTTTTTTATTCAAATTTTGGCACTCTAGGATTCGATAAAACTCGCAATCACACGAGAATTTAATCCAGCTCACGAATGGGATAAATTCTTATTAACGTCATCTTCAAGCATCTAAACCCCACCTTTTTCTTTTCCTCTCTTTTTCCCTTAGTCCACTTTCATTATTCTACGTTATCTTTCATTTCTTTTCCACAAATAAATATACCCTTTTAAAAGAAAAAAAATATATTAAATATTATAAAATAAATGTCGTTAAATTTACCGTAATCTATCAATTTTATGAACAAGTAATGCAGTCAAAATATTGATATTAGATTAAAAAAATTAGCATAATCTATCCATTCAAGTTTTTAAGTTTTTTTTTTAGTTAAATAATATATAGAGTGAAAGATTTGATCAAGATAACATGTTTTTACTTCGGTTGGATTATGTTCGAGTTTGAGTATTGGACCTATGGTCGACTTTCTTCTCTATTCAACCAATCGGTCTCACAATCAGGGAGGCTTATACCATTACGCTCACAAGTAGAATCTTAGCTTGAGCCTACCTTCGTACACCTCCGTTACTCTTGAGGTATCTGCCCCAATAAACTACCCACCTAGCAGTGTCCCACCTCCTAAAAAAATTCAGTGGAGGCAGTTAGACATTGTTAGACGAAAAATGCATCCAAATGAATGAAACGAGCTAGAGAGCCATGATGGATTCCCACTCTTTTTCCCTCAAAGAAACGTCCGAAAATACACATTCCATAGTAGAAAAAGCACAAAGTTCCTTCCCGAACATGGGGAAGAGATTCGTAATAGAGACGGAAGAGAGCATAGATGGCGTAGAATGGGCGCTACCCGACTCCTCTCTCAGACCCCACCGCCTGATTCTGCCTCAAATCCAAATAAGTTTCGTACACTTGTCTTCAATTTCACTTAAACGTCCGTTTCCTACCCTTTGGCCTTCACTCACCGCTCACTACTCAATTTCTCTAACCGTCCATCTGGCACCACGTTTTGCATCGCATTTCGTGCTACTAGAAGAGGATTCTTCCTGTTTTTCCATATAAATCCCCTGTTTTCTCAATTCGGTTGTCGTCTTCATCTCTCCTCTCTCGCACTGCATTTCCTGTTTTCTTTGAAGCTTGATTTTGTTACCCCATGGCATCTGCTGCTACTCTTAGCCCTGCTGATACTGAGAAGCTCTCCAAGCTGAAAGCTGCTGTCTCTGGTCTTAGCCAGATAAGGTATGGAAATGTGGACATAAACCATGTGTATTCATGGCCTTTCTTTTTGTTGTAATTTCGATTTGTGGGATCTGTTTGAGAAATGGGTTGTGGCTTATGAGTTCTGTCTCTGATGCTTTTGTGCTGTAATGGGGTTTTTGTGGAATATGGGTTTTGTTATTGGATCTGATTGTTTCTTTGTTTTGACAGTGAGAATGAGAAATCTGGCTTTATCAACCTTGTCTCCCGCTATCTCAGGTAATTTCTAATCCTATAGCTGTTTATTGCAATGGGAGAGGATGTAACATTTCTTGAACCTTTGAAGTTCTAATTGTCTTGTAGAG